AAATCATCTCTTTTCTGTTTAAACACAAACTAATCATTAAATTTGATTATAATTTTTGTGTAACTTTTTAAGACATCTCTCTCACTCACTCTCACTCTCTCTCGACACTAAAAATAAATAAAATCACAAAAATCTTATTAACTAAATTTCAATACAATCTATACTCGCTAAGTCTAAGTTAATCTAATCGAGTAAATATTAAATAATATACATGTTTATCGTAATACTAAATATTAAACTATAATCTATCTACAATTTATAAATTTATTAATATATCACAGAATATTCTGTTATATAAATTATGTGATTAAATAACATTATTTATTAGTAGCAAAGTAAGTTGACAGTAAGCCTTAACTAAACATTTGTTTTAAAATCTATCAAATCATCAAAAAGTTTTTATTTTATACATAAGATATGTGTGTCAAACAATATTTTACTTAACGTATTAACAAAAGTATAAAAGTATTAATATATTTGTATTTTTCCATTTGTTTCAGTCGTTGAACCGATAGATTAAATAAGACTCGACATAAACACCGCCAGTATTACTCTGTATGTGTATATTAATAGACCTTGATATAAGACAGTACATGGCAATCAAGCTAATGTAATACAATGTGTTTAAACGTGTCAATCGTCTACTTATTAGCTGTCATACCGGTGCGCATATAATCACAATATAAATGACAATTTTTATGGACAATAACAGCATCGCTACTATTAATATCAGTAATAGTAATCTAATTATGAATATAAGCGGCTCCGGTATGATGACAGGGCCGGCAGATGTGGGCCCCGATGATGACTACTACACGTATTACGACTTTATTGGCAAATGTTTGTACGACTTTCGCGAGGGTTACCTACCGATCCACGGCTGGATATCGGTGTTTGTCTGCCTGTTTGGTATTATAGCCAATATATTGAACATAATCGTGTTAACCAGGTATTTGTTTTTAATAAAATTGACCCTCAAGCCTATTTTTCCACAGTCTCTCTCTCTCTCTCTCTCTCTCTCTCTCTCTCTACCAGTTATACAGTTATCTGTCTATCTATATGTCTATAGTGTACGTGATTTTTTACAGACCATAAAATAATTACTTATAAATGAGAGTACATTATAGCCAAACATACAGTATATTATGCTTTATTAAGTATATGTTAGAGAGAATATTCCGTTGAGAATCCAATTATGATTATATCTCGATATCATTCTCGAGTATCCATTAATTGTTTTGTTGTTGCACCGGGTATATTAGTAGCAATATATGTCGTTAGTCAAGTGGCCCTGATATAAATGTTTTAGATGGTGAGAGCCAGATAATTATGATAGTCGATATTAATTATGTACACTAATGAGGATTTTGTGTACCTTGTGTAGCAATCATATGAAAATATGCTATCAAATAGCATTATACATTATAATACACCTATACACACAAAATCTCGAAAAATAAATTCTTGAAAAACGAAATCTCGAAATGTAAAATCTCGAAAATTTTATAATCTATTTTATAATTAGTTGGTTAATTATATAATTATATACATGTACAAAATGAGTTAAAATTAAACACAAAATAGAAAATTTTAATTATAAACTACTTTTGAAAGTATTTTAGTTAGTTTTTAGTTCGTAAGAGACTATTTATCCATTTATTTTTGTGAATTAAAGCAAGATTGTAAATATTTTGTAAAATAAATGTTTTAAAAATTAATAAATTAGCTAAAAAATAGATTATAAAATTTTCGAGATTTTACATTTCGAGATTTTGATGTACTCCCTACAATACACTGTACAAGTTTATTAATAAACATTAACATTATTTTATTATAACCAAGTACTATATTAAGTAACAAATTGTTAGCCAAGTAGTAAGTATTGAGAAATAATGAAACACAAGTAGTTTATTGCTTTTTAATGAGTGAGTGAGTGAGTGAGAGTGAGTGAGAGTGAGTGAGAGTGAGTGAGAGAGATGTCTTAAAAAGTTACACAAAAATTATAATCAAATTTAATGATTAGTTTGTGTTTAAACAGAAAAGAGATGATTTCGCCGACAAACGCCATACTCACGGGACTGGCGGGTCAGTAGTCACGCAATCATTTTCATATCACATCTATTATCTAATAAATGGATAATTTAATTACACGATAAATGAGTGGACAGGGAGGCCGGTGCAGTCGTACCACTATATAATGATTAGGTTTAGCAGCGAATTAATTATAGACATTACTTATCGTGACATTTCATAAAAATTATTATTTTTAATTAAATTTATAATTATTTTAATATTTTATATTAAAAACAAAGTACTTATTATAAGGGTAGTTGAATTTTATTTTACTTATATATAACACTACTGTACTATCTAACTGTCCGCTTGTTATATGAAATGTTTGTGTTTGTAATGGTGTGTCCGTAATGTTAAAGTGGGTTATATTTACTTCAAAACCTAAATATAACACAATTTTTAG